CATCAGTTGTTAACAGCTGTAAGAAAGTTAACAAATGTAATTGGGGAAGGTGTGACAGAGGAAGGAGGGTTATGGGAACTCTCCGTCCTAGTTGCTCAATTTTTAGTACACCTAAAATTCTCCTTCCCCAAATAAAGGCTGCTTAAAAAAAAGAATTATTTCCTCTTTCATGTAGGAATCCCTTCCTGAACAGTACAATTAGGCTGCTATGAAATTATAAGGTTTTAGAGGTAAGAGATTCTTAAATTTTATCTTATCCCAAACCTTTACTTCATACTAAGGAAGTGGAAGCCCAGAGGAGAGGTGACTGGCCTGAGATTGCACGGTAATTTAGTTTTTATGGCCAAAATAATAACTTTTATTTTATTGAACACAAGCCTTTTCTTTCCTAGCAGACTGCTCTTTGCACCACCCTACACTGCATTACGTACCTATTTTCTACCTACGGAATTCTCAAATGGTTGGCTTTTCTTAAACTGGGGTTGACTAGCTCAGGTTTAGAATGATGAGGAATGTTTGTTCCTTCTGTAGGGCCAAGGGCAGGCTGCACTGGCATGATGATTATTCTGAGCTGAAGGCCACTGGGATCCTGCAGGCTCCACAGAAATTTTTGCACCTCTTTTACCTACCTAGAAGAATCAAAATTGGAGGTCTTTCCAAGAATAAGGATTATTAGCAGAGATAAATTTTATCCGAGTGACTCATGTGCGTCACAGGGCTAACATTTAATTACCAAACTTCTGGGGTGCTCGACTGGCTCAGTTGGTAGAGCGTGCCACTTGTGGTCTTGGAGTTTTGAGTTGGAGCCCCTATCAAAAAAATGAAGTCTTAAAAAAAACAAAAACAAAACATCTCTTCATATTGCTCTGTGAAGTGCTTTCCTTTCCTCTGAAGTCCCAGCCCCCAGCCCCCTTCTACTTATTTCAGGATGACATATATACCTCACTTTGCCTGTCTTTGGAATTTCCACGTCTTTGTGCATTCCCTGTGGATGTGCTTTTGAATTTTATTTTCTCCTGTTCATCTGTCTCATGTCAATTTAATTCTGAGTCCAGCTAGAAGGATTTGTGAGAGGACAGGAATTCTTCCCCCCTGACCCTACTAAACTCCCTGTTTCTTGCTTCTCTTTTCTTTAGGCCAACAGTTTCCATTTAAAAGGCAGAGCTGACATTCTGCCTCTTGCAGATGGGGGTGAGGGGGGGGGCATCTATACGGCCTGGAGTGACATCCATGGCTAATGAAAAATTCTTAACTGACTTGGCTAACGTACAGAAATATCCTGTGGATGAGGTCCAGCTGCTGTCATTTTAAGAGGCTATGAGGCTGATAATGAGGTCAGTAGGAACATATGGAATGTGTCACACCCATTTTATTCCTTGGCCAAAGCTATTATCCTGTTAGACAAGTGTGAAGCTAACAAAACAGATGCCTAAGAGACTAGATTTCAGAATCCTCATACTGACTGCTTCATTTGCTCAAAATGACTTTATTGATTTAAGTAGAAATGGTCCCTGTCCTTAGGAGATTACAATCTAAAATCATGTCCCTAACTGTGATATTACCTCATCTGTGCCTCAGTTTTCTGATGGCTGAGACTAAAAGGGTCTTCAAGGATGCATTCAGCTCTGATTGCATAGATTTTTATGTTTCTTATTACAGCAGCCATAAGGCAAACAGTCCCCCTTATCAGTCCGTCTTATCTCTTATCCCATCCTCACCATCCACACTGCAGGACACTGGGATTCCTGACCTTTACACATGACTTTTGAATGTGTCTGAGCACATGATCCTGCATTCCTATTCTTTTAACTTAATTCTACACAAAGTTCAAAGGCAAGAGTGCACCCATAGGATTTAGTACACTACTTGACTGAGTTCAGCAGAGAATGCCTCTTTAATTAAAACAACAAATAAGGGTGGTACCTTTATCCCTATTTTATTTTAATATTTTATTTGTTTATGAGAGAGAGAGAGAGAGAGTGAGAGAGAGGAGGAGAGAGGAACAGTGGGGAGAGAGAGATGCAAGCTCCTCGCTGCCCAGGAAGCCCCACACGGGGCTCAATTCCAGCATGCTGGGATCACAATCTGAGTGGAAGGCAGACACCTCAACCGACTGAGCCACTGAGGCACCCCATCCCTATTTATTTATTTATTTATTTATTTATTTATTTATTATTTATTTATTATTTTTTAATAAATTAATTTTTTTTGGTGTTCAATTTACCAACATACAGAATAACACCCAGTGCTCATCCCCATCCCTATTTAAAGATGAGAAGCCGAGACCCTGAATTGTTAACAAAATGTCCTAAGATACTATGCCCTAGAAATAGTAACTAGCATTTAGTGAATATTAATAAATAGAGGCACAGAGAGGTTAAGCAACTTCGATAGTTCACACAGCTGATGGGCAGAGGAGCTGATGATCACAATCAGCCATTCTAAACTATGTAGGCTATATGTAATAAGTATATTATCCTGCCTTTTGCTACCTTACTTAACCTAACTTAATGTAAACTGTTAAAATGAGTTACTTCAAAGATGAGGGGATTGAGGATTACCTTTTTCTTGTCACATTTCTGTATTATTTGATATTACAGCCATAATATTGTGCTTATATGATAAAAAAAATCCCCCCATTCTTTTAATGGCAAACTAGAATTAGAAGGTAAGGATGACTTTTTCATTAAATGGTTTTAGAGGTGAAGGGAACTGCAATAATTGTAAAGGTTGAGGAATGTTCAATTTCTCATTTTCATATGTGTGTTTATTTGTTTCTTGTCCTTCCAACGAGAATGAAAGCTCTGGATGGTCAGCACCTAAGTACCTACCAAGTCATGGTTCCAGCCACCATCATTGCTTCCTAAAACCAATACAACAGCTTCCTAATCATCTCACCACTTCTATTCTTTCCCTCTGCATTTGTTTGCTACAGCTCCCATAAGAAAGAACCATAAACTGAGTGCTAAAAACCTAAAAACCACAGTTTGTCCCACAGTTCTGGAGGCTACAAGTGCGAGAGAAAGATGTTGGCCAGGTTGGTCCTTTGCTGTAAAAGAGAATCTGTCCCATGCCTCTCCTCTTGATCCTGGTGGCTTCCTGGCCATTCCTTGGTGTTCCCTGGCTTGCAGCTGCAACATTTCAGTGTCTGCCTCTGTCATCACATGGTCTTCTCCTCTCCTGTGTATCTTCTGCTATTCTATAAGAAGAATAGAATAAGGATACCAGTTATTTTGGATTAAAAGTCCACTCTTCTCCAGTATGACCATCTTCACTGATTATGTCTGCAATGGCCCTATTTCCAAATAAGGTCACTGAGGTATTGGGGGTTAGGACTCCAACATGTCTTGTGGAGGGACACAATTCAACCCAAAATGCCAATTCTCCTTGGAGCCACCAGAGTCAACTTCTAAAAATATAAATTGGTTAGCTCACCTGATTCCCCATCATACCAAGAATAATATCTGAACTAGGGATACCAGATCCTATTTCCTCTGGTCTCTGCCTCTTTCTCCATCCACATCTCTTTCTACTCCCTGCCTTATTAATCTGAGCTAGGCACACTGTCTTTCTGTTCACAGAGCATTCCATGCCCCCTCTCCCATAGGGTCTTTGCTGTTCCTTCTGTCTGGAATGTGCTTCCATCAGATCTGTGCGTGGTTCTCTTTCTCACTTCCTCCAAGTCTTCCCATCCAGGGTTACCTCCTCTGAGAGGTCTATTCTGATTCTAACTAGAACAAGGAGCTACTCTTGTATCCTTCTCTTGTTCAGTTTCCTTAAAATGCTTAGTACTACATGGCATTATTTTTTTTAAAGATTTTATTTATTTATTCATGAGAGACAGAGAGAGAGAGAAAGAGAGAGAGACAGAGAGAGAGAGACAGAGACACAGGCAGAGGGAGAAGCAGGCTCCATGCAGGGGGCCGGATGTGGGACTTGATCCCGGGACTCTGGGATCATGCCCTGAGCCAAAGGCGGCCCTACACCGCTGAGCCACCCGGTGATCCCCAATTTAAATTTTTTTGTATATTTTTTATTGGAGTTCAATTTGCCAACATATAGCATAATACCCAGTGCTCATCCCGCCAAGTGCCCCCCTCAATGCCCGTCACCCAGTCACCCCAACCGCCGGGCCACCTCCCTTCCACCACCCCTTATTCGTTTCCCAGAGTTAGGAGTCTCTCATGTTCTGTATTTCTCACTGATACTTTCACTCATTTTCTCTCGTTTCCCTTTATTCCCTTTCACTGATTTTTATATTCCCCAAATGAATGAGACCATATAATGATTGTCCTTCTCCGATTTATTTCACTCAGCATAATACCCTCCAGTTCCATCCACGTGGAAGCAAATGGTGGGTATTTGTCGTTTCTCATGGCTGAGTAATATTCCATTGTATATATACATGGACCACATGGTCTTTATCCATTCATCTTTCGATGGACACCGAGGCTCCCTCCACAGTTTGGCTGCTGTGGACATGGCTGCTAGAGACATCGGGGTGCAGGTGTCCCGGCGTTTCATTGCATCTGCATCTTTGGGGTAAATCCCCAGCAGTGCAATGGCTGGGTCGCACACTCGGGGTTTTTTTTAAATCAGTTCCCCCTTGATCCAACACTTAGGGCTTCCCATCTTTTGCGACTGCCAAAAATGTCGGAAGGGGTCTTCGCTGCATGCCGAATCGGCTCGCGCGTTGCAGACTTTGCGCGGAGAGCCGACTGTCCACAAACAGTTGCAGCAAGAGTGAGCTAACCGATGTTAGGAGCCAGCCGGGAGGGCAGGTAGGGAGCCCTGGGGCCGCTCCCAGGGCCGCTCCCCGGTACGCGGCGCTTCGGGGAGGCTCCAGCAGGTGGCGCTGCAGGCGGCAGCCGCGCCCGGCCGCCCGGGCCACGTCGCTCTTGCCGTGGGCGCCGCCGGTGGCGCGGGGACGAGCGTGGGGGGCAGGGCGAGTCATATGACCCGCTCGGCTTCCTGGCTCCGGCCGCCGCCGCCCGCCCGAGTCCGCCAGTGGTGCGCCGCGGCCCCGAGGAGCCGTTGAGGGGTCGGGGCTGAGGCCCGCTCGAGTGGAAGCCGTCGCTGCCGCCGCCGCCGCCGCCGCCGCCCGCCCGCCCGGCCGCCCGCGCGTCCTCCCTCCCGGCCGCCATCATGCTGGCGCTCATCTCCCGCCTGCTGGACTGGTTTCGCTCGCTCTTCTGGAAGGAGGAGATGGAGCTGACGCTGGTGGGGCTGCAGTACTCGGGCAAGACCACCTTCGTCAATGTCATCGCGGTGAGTGCCGCCCGCTCACCCGCCCGGGGCGCGCCGTCCGCGAGTCCGGCCCGGCGCCGGCCCGAAGGCCCGGGCTGGGGCTGCCGTCCGCGCGACGGGGCTAATGGGAGTGGGACGAGGGGAGGAGGTAAGCCGTTCCTGCCCCCTCCGCGGGCGCTGGGCGCTGGGCGCTGGGCGCTGGGGTTCCCGCGTGCTGGTGGTGCGCCGAGCCGGGCCGCCGGCGGGTTCATTCTGTGTAGGCGCCTTCTGCAAAAGGCCGGCCGGGTCCTCCTCGCGGGCCGGGGCTTGGAAGGGGCAAGCATCGGCCTCTCGCGTGTGTCGGGATGGGCGTCTTCCCGTCGGGGTTGCTCCGGGCGGGGGGGGACACCTGAAGGCTTCGCTCCAGCCTGTCACTTCCCCGAAGGGTGGGATTTGGCGAGCTGTCAGCCCCGTGAGAGAGCGTGAGACTCCGGAGCGTCCCTCAAGTGGCCGCTCGGGACGGGGAGCGCCGTCGTGGGGGGAGCGGCAGGCCGGCGCGGGGCGCCTTCCCGAGCACCGCGGACAGGATGTCTGTCTCCCTGTAACGCAGTTTACTGGTTTCCAGTCGTCCCCCTGGGGGCGGAGAGCAAGTTCAGCGCTGCCTGGGCTCGCCGGTAGGAACTGGGGGGGGGGGGGGGAGCTTCCAGCCCGTCCAGTCCACGGTGGTCCGCAGCATTTATTAAGCCAAGCAGTTAAGGGGGGGGGGGGGACTTCTGCTTCTCCTTCTCCAGAGCCAGCAGTCGGGAAAGAGGGCATCTGTGGTCTCCCAACTTCCCTTGAAAAAAGGAGGGGTTGATCTTTGGTGAGGCCGTTTCTTACTGGATGGGGAGGGAAGGGAAGAGACCGGGGCAGGAACCCGGTTTATTACAGGCCCAGGAAAAGGGGGTCTAGGAGGGAGATTGCGCTGGGAACCTGTGTCGCATGCAGTGTGGTGCTTGTTCAGTCAGCCTCGGTTGAGTGGAAGGATGATTATTAAATTTTGCTTGGGTGGTTAGTTGGGGGGGGGGGGATAAGAGAGAAAGATGCTCTTCGATCTCACTTTAGAGGCCAGGAGTTGATGTGACTCACTTGTAGCTGATAGGTGCTTGTCCTTGTCAGGGGTAAGCCGTGGAACTGTTTTAAAGAGAGAGGGCCGCAGTTCTTCCATCTTTTAGAGATGGTGGTTGAAACCCTTTTAATAGACGGGTGGCCCAACTGGTTTGGTTACAGGAATGATTCAAACACAGCTCCCTTGTGGGAGAAAATATGTGACGTGTGACTCTTAGTCCTCAGTAGTGGAGCAGCAGGAGTGAGTAAGACTCGAAGAAAAAGATGAGCAGAGATCCAGACTTCCTTCGAGGACGTTGTCTATTAAGTATAAAAGAAAATTTGCCTACTTGTTTGGCTCCTCTAGTGATGTGGTGGTGGTGGTGGTGATGTTTTTGGTTTTGTTTTGGCTTGAGATGACTATTCAACATATATAGTAGAGTGGAAAGTATATGATAGCACCAAAATTAGTTTAAAATCCCTGTGGAGGGATACCTGGGTGTTTGGTCCAGGGTGCGATCCTGGAGTCCCGGGATCGAATCCCACGTCGGGCTCCCGGTGCATGGAGCCTGCTTCTCCCTCTGCCTGTCTCTGCCTCTCTCTCTCTCTCTCTCTCTCTCTGTCTCTGTGACTATCATAAATAAATAAAAATTAAAAAAAAATCCCTGTAGATTAAATATCCATACTAGAGCTTTTATAGGATATGGGAAAGACTTAGTTAACTGTAAATTTTCTGGTATTCTCTTGAGAGATAAGAATTGGAATCTCCTTGTAAGCCCGATTTTTTTTTGATAAGACTGAATTAATATATAGTGTAGATGTAGGTGTATTACTACAATTAATTGTTGTATTTGTTGCAGAGTAGTTATTCTTGGGAAACTTGAAAAAGTTTAGTAAGTCTTTGAAGAACTTCTAAAGGCCTGAGCATGAAAATTATGCTTATTATGTTCTTTTTTTTTTTTAAGATTTTATTTGTTTACTCATGAGAGGCAGAGAGAGGGGCAGAGACACAGGCAGAGGGAGAAGCAGGCTTCATGTAGGGAGCCTGATGCAGGACTCGATCCCAGGCCCTGGGGATCATGGGCAGAGGCTCAACCACTGAACCACCCAGGCGCCCCTTATTATGTTTTTCATAGATGGTGTAGTTTATTATAATGAGCAAGAACTTTGAAGTCCAGGAACTCTGGGTTTGCAATCTGGCTCTTCCACTTAGCAGCCTTGTATCTTCTTTCAGTCCTTGATTTCTCATCTATTAAATAGAGATAATAATATGTTTCTTAAAGAGATGTTCTGGGAAGTAAATGAAATGACACATAGTAAGTGACTAGCACCAAGCCTGCCCATAGAAGGGGCTGGGTAAGTGGTAGCTGTTGTTATTTGTAGCCAATACATTGCTTCTTTAATGCAGAAACAGTGTTTTGAAAAATATTCAGAAGGGAATTAGCTGGGTTCATTTCCTTCTTTGAATCTGATTTATCCAAACGTGTGCTCCAAGAGTGGATTTATGGACTGTGGCAAATAATCGTATCATGTACTCTTCCCCCCCACCCCACCCCCGCCCCGATTTAAAAAATATATTAGATTATTTTAACAGCAGAGCTTCTGGAACACTGTTGAACTCAAAGTGAACTAGTGTTTCCACTATTTTTTTTTTTTTTTTTACATTAGACAGTTCTTTTTGAATTGTAGTGATATGGGTAGGTTTGGCTTAGAAAAAAATCTGGATTGTAATTGGTCATAGCCTTTAAGATGCTGAGAAAAAGAGACCTCAATAAATTTTACACCTTTTTAAAAAGAAATCTCAGACTCTAACTTAATCTGTGATTATTATCGAATATATTGAGGGTGAGGAAAAGGTTAGTAAAGTGATTTTTACAGACTTTTAGATAAAAACAGTGTTTCCAGGACAGTAATTTTAGCCTTATATTTAAAAAAATTAATTGAGCTATTCTTTATATTTTGTATAAGATGTTTGATTTATAGACTCAAAAATACAGATTGGTTGAATTTGATGTCACTTTAGAAAGTTGGCCATTTATTTACTCGCATTCAACAAGTAGCTTGCCAGGTATGAAAAGTTTCAGGTGATGCCAGTTTTCTTTTGGTAAAAATCGACTTTTTGCATAAAATGTGTCTCTATATTCTGTCTTAAAAGTTAACACAAATTTCAGAAATGTCATTTAACTTACTCAAAAGGTTTGTGAAACTGAATTATTTATATGTAGGGTTTGGCCTTTTTCTGAAATCGGGCATTTTACTTACAGAGAGTTTCAATCCTAAAATTCATATTCTTGTAGTTTTAAAAATGGGATGATACTTTATCTAATATTTTTACATAGAGACCCTTAACTGTTCTCTTTGTTTTTAACATTAAACAAAGAAACCCCTCTAGTCGTTAATTTTCTCATTAGTGTTAAGGAATGAAATAATGCCCATTGCTAAGTATTCTGGCGGTTATTGCATAATAAATCATGTGTCCTATATGTGTAAAGTACATTGAGTAATCTTTATTTTTAACGGAGACTCTTACATGGGTTACAGGAGTTACTAAGAAATGTTTAATAGGATTTAGCAAAGTGTTATAAGCTACCTTTTATAGATAACTTTGTTTTTTAAATGAGTTGTATAAAAGTTTGTCTACATTTTTGTAAAGTATTGATGCTAAATTGGTTATTCCAAGGAAAGTTTATCACTGCTGAGAATTAGAAAAAGGAGATATTTGTAACGATTGTAGGAATTTGAACCTACAAGCTTTTTTTTTTTTTTTTTTAATTAGGGAGAGAGGGGAGGGTACTTTTGAACATTGCTTGGGGGAGGGGCAAATGAAGAGAATTTAAAGCAGATTACCTGCTGAGCTTGGAGCCCTGCTGGGGTTTGATCCCAGGACCCTGAGATCCTGACCTGAGCCAAAAGCAGGAGTTCAACGTTCAACTGATTGAGGTACCTAGGTGCCCCAGAGTAAATTTTTTTTAGGATTTGTAGAACTTTTAATTAGGTGGTCTAATTTTACTCTCATCTTACAGATGCAGCTAAAGGATCCAGAAAAGTAAGTGAAATTCCTAAGGCAGCTAACTCATAGCAGAGATAAAATTAGAACCTAGGGCTAGTTCCCTTTCTACTTTACTGGTCTACCTCTAAAATCCAGCCGAGATTAGAATCATATAGCTGTGGATTGGCAGGTCGTAATCCTTTAAAAATCTTTTAAAAAATATATTTGTTCATAAATATACTCTTATGAATCTGGATAACATTTAAACCAAAGCGTCTTCAGCATGTTGATTAACATTTGAGGACTGTTTGTGTGTGTGTGTGCGTGTGTGCGCGCACATGTGTATGTCTATATTGAGGATATGAATTAGGGGAAGGAATGATAATCTATATAAAGTAGGAGTACTGGAATATTATATCATGTTTGGACATTTAAATAACTGGCTAACAAGCATTGTTGGGTAATTGAGCTATGTTTATTTTCCTTAAAAAGCAGAAATAATTCTGAATTTGAGCGGAGTGTTTATTACTTACTCTGGAGTAAGAATGGGGCAAATAGTTTTTAAAGAAACTATAATGTGACTCACGTCTATAGGTCAGTAAATTTTTAATTTTACTGTAAAAACTAGCCTTCCAATAAGGTAGTCTTCAAATTGACATTAGAAGTAGTAGCACATGAGGCATCCTGCTAGGGAGTTTCTCTTCTTTTTTTTTTTTTTTTTTTAATTTATGATAGGCACACAGTGAGAGAGAGAGAGGCAGAGACACAGGCAGAGGGAGAAGCAGGCTCCATGCACCGGGAGCCCGACGTGGGATTCGATCCGGGGTCTCCAGAATCGCGCCCTGGGCCAAAGGCAGGCGCCAAACCGCTGCGCCACCCAGGGATCCCGGGAGTTTCTCTTCTAAGTTCTTCACCCTCATCCCCATTCCCATTATTTTTGACATGCAGACCTAGAATATCAAAAGCT